AAATTATTCTATTTTTAAATATTAAGTCAAATTAATTATTAAGATGATACTAAAATTTATTATTTAAAATTATTTTATAGTATTAATTTTTGTAAAACTTAAAATCAATTTCGTAACACTTAAGATTTTGCTATTAAAATCACTCTATAGAATATTGTTATACTAATTTTTAATACTTGAAATCAATTTTATACTACTTGAGATTTTGCTATTAAAATCACCCTACAGGATATTATTACACTAATTTTATTGAAATTCAAAAAAAAAAAGGAATTTTTCAATAAAAAAAATTTTTTCTGGAGGGTATTCATACTTTCCAAACCTTTCATTCAAACATATATTTAAACTATTAATAATGGTTTTAATTAAAGTTAAAAAATTTTAAATTTTATAAGAATCTGAAACTTTTTTAACTTTTTAAATAATAAAATAATATTAATCATTTACAAATTTAATGTCGATCATTTCTAAAATCTAATTTTAGATTTTTTGATTGATGTTATACAAAAAATGAGAAATTTTGACAGCCTAATTGCTTGCTTTGTTAATTATATAATCAACTATAAAATTTAATCAAATAAAGATAATATATCATATAATAATATGAATCAAAAATTTAATTTCAGTTAGTGAGATCCCGTAAAGTGATTTTAATAGCTTAGCCCATATTTTAAAAGAACAAATATTTATTATTTCATTATTAAAATATTAGGGGATTAAGATGACCTACATTTATATAGAGAAATTCTATTTTATAAATCCTATAATTTCTTGATCTTTTATTTTTATAGATCTTAAGATTTCCTAATTTTTTATTTTAAGTTTCTGTAATTTCTTATTTTTTCTTCCAATATTTTTGTAATTTCCTAAATTTTTTTTTTTTGTAATTTTTATAAAATTCTTTTTAAGTTTTTCATTATTATTGTTATTTTTTATTATTATTTTCTGATATTTCTAATATTTCTATTTTAATTAATCTATTAATTCTATGATTTCTAATTTAATTATTCCATTAATTTTATTATTTCTAATCTAAGTATTCTGTTAATTCTGTTAATTATATAATATAATTATGATATCATATTTCCTCTTTAAGATTTTTTTGTTTTCTTTATTTGGAAGTTGTTTAATATTCAATAATAGTTTTATCCTTTTTCTTCAGTAAGTAATTTATCCACTAGCTAATAGTCTATCTGTATTTTATGTTTTAGTTTTTAGTTAAATATTTATCTATTAATCTTTTATTTAATTGATTATTTATTTAATTATTAATTGAAATATCATATGATTTCATTTTTATGAATTATTAACTCTACAATATATAAACGATATTTTTATAGAATATTTATTTGCTAATTTAATCAAAAAAGAAATTTCAAAGCAAATTAATCAGTAATTAAATTAGCATTTAAAAATATTAAAATTTACTTTGAATTTTTTCAATTTAAATCAACAGAAAATTAATAGAATTAGACTTCCTTAATAGATTTAAATAAAAAAAAAATGTTGGAAAAATTTTCAATATCACAATTTGTATTAGGCATTCATGAAAAAGATAAAGAAGAATTATGGTGAGAATTTTATCATTTGTATTTAATTTTATATAAAGAAAATAGTACTATACAAATTTCTGGCTTATATTAAAAAGAAGATATTCACACCTTATATGCATATTTTGTAAAATATATATTTTAGTTTTTACAACAATTAAAAGAAAAGAAACTTTTTTTACAAATTTTTTTACTTTAAGTGTAAAAAAAAATCACAATCAGATACTCCAAAATAATTGTATTTTTCATTTAACTTTAGGTTTTTTGTTTTTTAGAGATACAACTATAGATGGAGAAAATTAATAGAAAATCAGTAATATATAATATAATGTCTTTTAAAATTTACTAATTATTCTACTTAATTAACAATACTCCTAAAAAAATTATTACTAGAAATATTAACATTAGTAAAGAGAATTAAATGATATATAATTAATATATAATTGTTAAAGTAATGTATAAGGTAATATAAATCTATAATTTAACAGTTGATTTACATTTAAGCATTTATTTGTCTTATGTTTATTTCTAAAAAATTAATAAAATTAATAAATATAAAATATAATAATACAGACATTACATCATAATATCATAAAATATTAAATTAATGCATACTTATCAGAATTAGTCATAAAGTACAAGTTGTGGTATCACACTGAAAAGATCGCCCATTTTCGTTAAGTTCTAATAATGTTCTAGAAAATTAAGCAGTTTTTTTTTAATTATTATTATATTGTAAACAGAATGCTTAATACCAATTAAATTTAACTTTATATGTTCTTTCATAATTAGCAAATAAAACATATCCCATGGTTTTTGTTATGGGATTCTGCTTAAAACTCTAATATTTATAATTAAGTATTTGTTTAAGTCTCTCTTCTTCAGCCTTTCCATGAAATTAACAAAAGTATTTTCGTTTTGTTAGACTATATTGAAAAGTAGGTTCATTTTCAAATAAATGAACAAAAATAGTTTCTGGAAAAGCATTTATTAAAAGTCATTTTGAACCAATAGAGTGTCTATTAAAACCAAGTCATTTTTTTGATAAGAACTATAAAAGCATCTTGATAATAAACAATATGTTCAAAAGAAGGCAAAATAAGTGAAGTATGGTGGGGTATAATTTTATTGTTTCGGTGCTTACTTCTCTCATGTATCAATAGTTTATTTTTAAAAGGAAAATTTTTTGGCAAAGCGAACAAGTGAGAAAAAAAGCGCGTTCATTGTTTAATTACCGTATATTGTTTTGGTTAGATCTTTTTGATCAACTAATTTACCAATCAAAATCGCGTCCACCAAATAAATATCACATTTTGTTGTATAAGTGATATAAACGAGTCATGCGGAGTCAAATCCGCCCATATGAATAAGTAATTTTGACAAATACAGTTCTGTCGTTCGCCCACATTCCTAACAAAAAAAAAAAAAAATTTTTTTATTAGTATTCAATCTGCCTGGCAAGACAAATACAAAGTCATACTAACGAATACACACAGTAAAATCGTCATTTTGGATCAGAACTTGTGTAATGGATCTTTGAAAAGAATAGAACTCGGCTCACAGATGGTAGTGCAGAGAATAATGAACTCGGAGAACTTGCAGAAGACTTTTTCTCGATTATCACAGTATTTGTGGCAAGACATAACGGAATGCATTTCGCTGCCAACCGCAGAAGGAGACGGAAGAAAGACACAACGTATCCGTCTCTTCAAAAAGAACGGGTGAAACTCAAACACTTGATGAGAACAACACGATGATCTTACAATCGAAGCCTTTTTGCGATCGAAAGAGGGAGAATCAAATGGACAAAAAAAAATATTTGCGGGTACAGTATTTCAACGCAATAAACTTCAATAATTTAAATGGGTCCTATATGATATTCGTTATGAAGATAATGAAGATGCAATTGTAAACATTGAGTTAGATCTGGTGACTCTTCTAGCAAAGCTCCATTGGCTTAGTTAATTTTACCTTTGTATTCCTCAACCAATCAAGATTGGTATTTTTTTTGTTTTTTAACTTATGTCTGCTAATCTAATTATCATCGTTATTACATTGAAAGTTCCGCAATAGGCGATTTTGATGGCTGAATTTTAATCAAGTGTGCGAGAAACAATGTTCAAACCGGTCATTGTAAAAATTTCAATATGAGTTAAGTGTAATATGAACTGTCTATATATTCTGTTCCAAGATTAGTATAAGAATTCGACAAATCCAAGGCATTTCATAACATCATTCTATTCTGGAAGGACTTTATGAAGAAGGTTTGTAGAAGCGGAAAATATTGTTGGTCCTGTTAACTCACATAAATGCTTATATCCAGACATTAGTCTTCCTTAGAATCGTCAACGTAAAAATGAGTTGGTTTACGTGAGGATTTATTTGCTCATCAGATATGGGCCGTCGGCCCATGTGAAACTTGGGGGCGGTCAATAGAAAAGGGGGGAAATCTAAGTAATTTTAGTTATTAAGCTAGTTTTGTTCACATGACCATGATCAGCAGAGTGAACCAATAAAAAATTTTGACTAAATAAGTGCCCCACTTTAGAATCGAAAGTCCATAAAAGATTTGTAAAGTAGCTACTGTGAATGGCAATACAATTGAAACAATAAAATAATTGTAAACACTACAGTATATCTTCTATTAAGATATCAGTGCATGCTATGATGGAGCCTGCAAAATCCACCACCATAAAATATTCACCATTTCTGTCAAGAATCATCTAACTTTGTTTGACAAAATCGCTCAGTTAACGACTTCAAGGAGTGGTAATCTATAGCCAAGAACGAGTTACTAACTTTTAAATTTTTTCTGCAAAGCAACCACTTTAGAATAACCACAGTTTGTGATTCGTTAATTCCGATGAACTTTGAATTCTAAACCAAGTATTACAAATGTGCATTGGATTGATTTAATGCAATTCACAGTCACTTAAATTTCCAGTGTTATGGAAGAAAAAAATGTAGGGAGGGCTGTCCTAATAATGATAATCTTACCTGGTAAAAGAGCTTCAATTACTTCAGCGTTTAGAAAATCATATCAAATATTTTCGTTTTTTGGATGATTTTTATTTATTTGTAATTTGCAAATATTCATTAACAAATGATTTTATCATACGAAATCGTTGCACTTATTTCCAGAAAGATTGGTTGTTGCCTTTATTAATATATTAAACATGTTCGGAGCAGACTTAATCGAAATATCATGCGATTAAATCATACAAAAAGTTCTTTCAACTTCACATGGACATTTGTATAATTATTTTCTTCTTAAGTTATTTACAAGATTTATACTTTTTTTTTCTTTTTTTCCTATACACAATATAATGATTACAACGAAATATACAAGGTATGGTAATTTATGACAATCAAATAAAAACTGCATTTTAAATTAATTATTCTGGAGTCACATATTCTTTTCTTTTGTACTCGGAAAGAAAGGGATTTTGCCTATAGCCAATTAGCCGGCCCGGTAGCAGTTTTATATTCTTGTGAAGAAATCGTCAAAGCGGGTGTTTGGTAATTATTATAAATTGTTAAATGATATTCTTGTATTTGGTCATTGATGTGATGTTCTGATATTTTAATATTGAAGTTTTTTAAAAAAATAAAATAAAATAAAATAAAAAATTTGTAAAAAAAATATTAGTTTTTTAATCCTCATTTTGTCTATTATTATTCAAAAGACTTCATTAGAAGTCCAAAATAAATAATTAAAAATATTAAAAATACATATAATAATTCAATAATTTACTTTTTTAAAATATTTAATTTCTAGTCATGGCATCACTAGGAATTTCTAAAACTCGGTCATGATTTTGAATATTATTATTATTACCACCATTTTGATTATTCCTACGTTTATTTCTATACCAAAAGTAGAATATACCACCAGAAATTAATCCGAGACTAACCAAACCAATACCAATTAAAAGACCAACATTAACACCGCCTGGCTTGGGATTTGGGGTCGAATTATTTGAAGGTGAAATAGATATAGGTACAGGTTTATCCATCGTGGTTACCCATTTATATTCTGCTTCATTTGCAATATCTAATATAAGTAACTCATCTGTTGCTCCATAATTTGTCAAATTTCCTATAGATTAAAAGAAAGGTAAAATATATTTGCTTAAAATTTTGATTAAAATGAAAAATAAATGTAATGTAATTACCAAATGCAATAATCATGTAATTTTCATATAATGTAGTAGTATGACAACATCTTGACGCAGGCATTTTTTGTACTTGAGGTACTTTCCAATCATATATTGGCCGAGATGTATTTAATACTATTAAATCTTCTTTTGGTGGAATAGCGGTTCCAACTCCACTTATACCACCATATATAATAATTCTACCATCAGGAACTATAAAATATATAATTATATAATTATAAACTATATTTATAAATATTCATTTACAATGATACATACCTAATATAGCTGTATGTCCCACACGACCTTCTGGAACAAATCCACTTGTTGTCTATAGTCAAATGTTATTACTATTACTATTAATATTTAAAGAAGTAATAAATTTAATTATTCGACTTACAATGTTAAACCATGCATCTAACTTAGTATTATATATTGTAAGCTGAAATTTTTAGATATAATATTAATATTTTCCTATTTAGTCGCTTTTCCTCTCGTGCTCGTGCTTACCTGATT